TGATGCTTATATTTTTCCATCGGTTGCTCATCCACCCTTTCTCTTGGTAAATGATTCAAATATAGCCAATAAGAATCGAATTACGACTGCTATTTCCATATCTCCACTTACGTTCTATCCATCAATTACTGCACCAGTTGGTTTTTCTAAACCAACCAAAGAGCAACCAGATGGTTTACCAGTTAATGTGTTTCTTTTTTCAAAGCCAGAAAACTTCGATAAAGTTTTTCAAATAGTTAAATTGTGCGAAAATTTGGGCAAACTAGATAAATTACCGTCTACAACACCTTTGCTTCTTTCTAATTTTGATAATGCATCAATTAAACAAGTGTACTCGATTTTTGCCTTAGTATTTTCAGCTACAATTAGCTTGATAATTAAATATTAACTAATTTCGTTTAAATTCGTATTTAATATAATCAAAACATACAATTTAAATAGAAAATTATAAGATACTATTATTATGCTTGGTTTAACTATATATCAAATATTTAAAAATTATATGAGTTCAACATTATTTTTAATTTATAAATTTAATCTTTTTGTTTTTGTTTTTTTTTTATTTTTCGTAATACTTTATTGTAATTGCGCTTTAAATGTTTTCTAATATTTTAAATTAAACAGCAGATAGGGCAATGCTTTATTTAAAATAATGAAGGGCGACAGTGAGGGTGAGATGTCAGAAAAGTATTAAGTAAGAATCAGCACTGAAGAATTGGTATGAGTGGAGTTATTGAAATTATTTATGTTTAAAAAATCTGTTTGATTATTATACAGATAATCAATTGTATAATTTTATATATTTATTAATAAAAATAAATACTGATGATAATAAAAAAACATAAATAAAATTTCTTATATATAGAGTCGATTGGGGTAAAAAAAAGGGAATTCGTGAAATTTCTTCAGTATTTTAATGATTTCTAATCCATTTTTAATCGGAAAAACTTGTTATTAACCATGAAGGGTAGAGCCAACATTTCTTTATCTATTAGTGTAAAAACCATCTAAAAATCCCTAACCGTTTTTGAGTTATAGCTAAAAAGCAAAGAGCTAGTCATCAATGCCTCTTTTTACCCCAAATGGGGTGAAAAGCGGCAGTAATATATTTTTGTTGGGGTAAAAAGAAGCAGTTCATTCAAAACACGGAGTTTAGAGACACGGCTGGGCGAGTCCGAGTCAAGACTCGGACTCGAGTCGACTCGAGCCACTTTTTTTAATTGACTGTGACTTGACTTGGACTCGAAAATTGGATAACGTTAACTTGACTGTTTGACTCGAGTCATCCGAGTCATTTATTCAGAAAAATTTTCACTCGTTCTGATATAAAGAAATATTAATCTATACCGTCGAATTCTTACTAATTTATAACTTTTGTTCAAATTAAATAAACTGCGTCCAAATAATTTTTTCAAGAGTTTTCTTTCGACATGCGTATTCATGTGATCGTGAATGGTAGCCAACGCGTAGTATCGAATATTTATGTTTTTCCCTAACTTTTTATTTCAACTCGTCTTTGATGCCTATATATGAGTATGCAATGAAGTGAATCACAACTTTACAATGGATCACATATCATATTCTTTACGACGCTATAACACAGTTGTTGTGTGACAGTGTTTTGATCATCAAATTTCTCCATCATTGATTTCATATTATTTCTCAGCAAAGAGTGTACATATGGCTTCATAACCTTCCTTTTATCCACACTCATTCCCTTATTTTGAAAAAAACAAACTAATATTGATCTCTTAATAAGCTGTGTAGAAAAATGAAGTGCGCTTCTATCTTAGTAACAACAGATCAATTATTGTTTTCTCAAAGTAGAATTCAATGAGACTGAGTTCTTCAAGTTTTACAGAAACTAATATTTTCATTTTAACATCTTTGAATGGTGATAAGGCATTTGATTCAAATGATAATTAATAATTTTTTGCTTTGAAACAGGTTTAAGGTTAGCCTTTTGCTTACCAAGATGTTATATATTTTACTGTGGTGTGACGCTGTATAAAAAGCTGTTAGCGCAATCTCTGTGGAATTGAAAATGTAAAACACGATGCAGCTATCATCGCTAAACACATGGAAACTACTTTGCTCGATCTATTTTGTGATGCGTTTGTTCCCAACGCTTGCCCTAGTCCCGTAGGGCTACAATAAGAGAGTAGGGTGTGGGTGTGGGTGGGGTGTGGGTGTGGGTGTGTGAGTGTGGGCGAATGGGTGTGGGTGTGGGTGTGGGTGTGGGTGACTAGGTGTGGATGTGTGGGTGTGGAATAATGAGAGAACCACACCACACCACACCACACCACACCACAGCACACCCAAACTCACAGCCACACCCAAACACCCGCACACCCACACCCACACCCACACCCACACCCCCACACCCCACACCCACACCCACACCCCACCCTAAAAATGACTGAATGGCAGCTGCTACACTGAGATACACTACCAAAAAATTGACCCATTTTTCCACTCCAAAAATGATTAGTCATGAACAGTATTTCATCGATAACTATTGATTAGTTCATGAAAAAGTAATATGTAAATAGGTCATTTTGTTCAGCTTTCGATGCTCTATCTTTTTGTGTATTACACAGAAAGTTTCATTAATTTATTGTCATCTAAAACAGTCACAACTTTATATGAACGATTTTTGACAAAATTCTTCAAATAGTCTCTCAAAATGTTCGTTAGTGCTCAACAGTAAAATTGAGCTAACTCTTCACCAATTCATCCAAATGCGCTAAAAATTTGGTTTTAGAGGTTTTCGATGAGCCTGCTCAAGATGAGAATATCAAATCAAAAATCTAAATTTTATCGAGTGCTTCAATTTTTTGGTGGCCTCATGGACGCTCTCTTGAGATTCTAAACAAATCGGATGTAGATTATCCAATTGGTTCAGTTTTAAGGTGAAATTTATTATTCTGAAGAAGAAATAGAGTAATATTTGATTAATATTCTATGATGAGAGATATTTATTAAATACATAAAAGACATAGAGGCAAACAATAATAATATAGAAAGAAATGAATATTTTTATTTTCTTAATCAATCGTCTTCTTTGATTATGAGACTTTTATTCAGATGAATAAAATCATATTTTAAACAGAATTGAACAATATCTGAAATGTTTTTGTGATTATAGACTCTTAAAATATGATTTTTTTCTTTCGAAACATTCGAAAGTCTCTATATATATACCATTTCATTGACTAGTTGATCATCTTTCATCTTGTTAATACTACATAAAATATCCATTAATTCTCTTTCAAGAATACGTATTATAATTTAATTATATAAAAAGGTCGAAATTGTGAATTAAAATTATTACAAGTACAAAAATATTTGAGTAATTCAGTAAATGATTTTATTTAAAAATACGAAAAATATTCTTTAATAATTTTTATATAAAATACGAACATCAAGTATTTTTTTCACATATAATTCGATTTTCTTTAATTATTACTTTCAAATAATACACATAATAAACAACAACATTGTTATTCAAATCATTTTATAACATGATTGAAATATAAAATATAAAAGCTCAGTATGTGAGTATCAGAGTGTACTACTTCTCTTTAGCAACACCCACACCCTAAAAAGTAGAATAGATAAGTGTCTAGAAAGACAATATATGAAAGTCTAAGGAAAATGTCGGCTGGTCATACGTCGGAAATAGCATAGTCGATAACTTACAATCTACTAGATTTCAATCAGAAACCCATTGATCAGTTGACAACATATTCTCATGAGCTAAGATCTACAATAAACTCCTTCTCATTCATTAGACCATGATTTACCATCAATGATTCGTTGTAAACAAGATAATAAACACAATTCGTCGAACAAAACAGGAAAGAAAGAATAGTCATGACAACGAAGATCACCAATGATAACAGCTTTTCGATTTTTTTTTCATTTTCCTGCGACTTCAACAGAACATCATTATATGAAGAAAATATTCTGCCTTTAGTTAAAGATACACGTTAAAGAAAAGATGAATGAATCTTATATCAATGAATCACTACTGTGCGCATGACTGTTTTGTTTTTGTTTTACATGTTTCATTTGTCAGAATTGAGACTTTAACGTGCATGATGTATTTTACTTCACAAAAATAACTTATTGAATGAATTGACAATACAAACAACCTATAAAATAAATCATACGAAGTCAATTTAGCAATGTCACGAATGAAATAAAATAAAACCAAGAGTTTGAACATGAATTGAAATTATTTGTAAACTTTTATTAAACTTGTGCACACATCAATGAGAATCATTCTACAACTTTATATTTTAATATTGTTTTGATTGATTTTCTTTTTCGAGCAAAATAATTTATGACAACATTTTCTTTTCGACCGAGAAGTCCTCTTGAAATGTTGAGTTTTCTCAAAATCAGCTGACATTAGAATTTTAAATTTGCTACAAAGCAATTATTATTTTTTTAATTTATTCGAAACAATTTTGTTATTGATAAATATGGATACTACCACCATAAATATAACTTCGAATCCACTAATTTGAATATATAGTTATTAAGTAATTTCTTGGATTGAATCAATGCTTGCAATTTCATAGCCCAATACGTTGTTGCTTTTAAAATAGCCAATGAGCAAAACTGAAGAGTATGGCAATGATATTTATTCGATAATAATCAAATATCCGATTCTAACTCATTTATAGTCGTATCAATAATAACAAGATGTTGTAAATGTTGACATATATTAATGAACAGTTGATTTATTTCTAATTTAAATGATCCTATAATAGTCATATCTATTATAGTATTCATATTGGAGAAGAATTGAAGCTTTTCATTTTGTTTAACAATCTGATGTTTTTTTCTATACTTTGGCATTGATAAGAATATTAATATATGGATATTTGGCATAAAACATAATAGTTCGATTATTTCTATAAAATAAAATTGACTACATTGAATGATTAGTTTAGTAAGTTCTTTTAATGGAATAATATTTGTAAGAATAGTTGAAAATGAACCGCAAGATTTCGAGAAATCATCGTCGATAGTCAATTCAATAATATTCGAAAAATAATAATTACAATTGATCATTGATTTTTGACTTTGAATGTGAACATGACGAACAGACTTCAAATTATTATCACAAGTATTTAAAGAAGTTTTTTCTTCGGATTGTCCGCATAATGTGTAAGTATTTCTTCTGAAAAGTAAAAATAATATACATAATGTAGTTAAAAATCACAAGTATAGTTACCTATATGGATCCGCTGAGTAGAAAATTGTATGATTTTTTCATTTTGACTGATAATGTTGTTGTGCAAAAAACCAACGCCGTTCGATCCAAAATGAAGATGTAAACTTATTGATCTGAAGGTTTGGTGCTGATTGATTCAAAAGGAAATTATTCCTCGAGGAATGAATAGAATTGGACGAATTTTTTTCGTGTTGAATGTCAAATATACGTAAATTGGGTATATATGATAATATCAGCTCTTCCCATTTCTTATCATCCATATATGCTGAGTCCATAATATCTTTTATCGTAATGCGTAAAACATAAATTGTAACACAAAAATCTATGATGATTTGTCTAAATTCATGAAAATTGATGTTTTTCAGTGTAAGAGAAACATGTGTCAAATGATTTAACACAAAAGAATATATTTGTATTTGTTTATGATAAGGTCCTTCTAATGAATGAATGGTAAGACGACGAAATTGAGGAACATACGATAATAAATTAATCAATCAATTGATGTTTATAATATTTTTGATAACAAGATGTTCGATTGAACTGTATTGATTAATCGCAATTGGTAACAGTTCTCTTGCCAAGCCTTCATTCAGTGACAATTGACAATATTTTAATGCAGATAGGTTAAATATTTGAAGATACAAATCGTTAATATTTCTAACAGGATCGACCAAAAATATAGCTAATGAAGTTAGATATGGTAGAGAAACTAATTGAAGAAGAATTCTTTCGATGTATATCGATTCAATTTGATCAAGAAAAAGTCTTTTAAGTTGAAAAAATTTTGATATCATGTAAATCGGAGAAATGTTTAAATCATAAATAATAGGATTTGATACACGAAAGAAACTAATTCGATGTATGTTGGGTAGAATAAACTCATTATTCAAATCTTCAAAATTCGCTTTTGATACGAATGAAAGATTTATTTTCATTGGAAAACTTGAATTAACAATTAGATTACGAAATCGTATATTCAAATTGTAAAAAGCTTTATATAAATGATACATATCCAAATATTCGAATATCTCATATAGAAGTTCATCAAACAGATCTTCAAAATTTGTGGGTGTGGGTGTGTGGGTGTGGGTGATAGAAGAAGAACAGACTCACAGCTACACCCACACCCACCGTCATGAAATGGTATCTATACCAGAAACACAAACATTTATATTAAATAGCATAGATCAAACATTTGGATTATTTATGGAAATAAACCATCAAATAACATGTCGAAAAAATTAATATACTCATAAATATATTCACCTTTTTGAATAATAAATTCTTATTTTATAGCAATATAAGGTATGATACAATACAAACAGATCGTTTAAAAATAATACCCACATGGTATACAAGAAAACATGATTCAGTTGATAGTAGTATTAGTGGTGTATGATTAATCTTTATTTTATTTTTATTTCTTTGCCTTTGTTTGTATGGTTTATATGTTCCGTTGTAAAAACTACAAAAAAAACTACTGTATTGAAATAGAAAAAGAAACAATTTCAGTAAAATAATGTTTTAAATGTATAGTTGGTATTTGTCACTATTAGTTACAACTGATGATGAAAAACCTTTATTGATTATTTTATGTGGCAGATCGAAATGAACAGTTTTTCTACGTGTAGTTGTATATATTGAAGATGATAGTGCCCGAGGTGACTACAATAAAAGATTTATATCGTTTCTTTTCTGAAGGTATTTTGTTTTTGGATAAAGCTTACTATATCTTCAATAACACCAGCGTTGCGAGCTTGTTGAACTAGTGTTACTGGATCTAACAGTGATGACCCATAACGAGCTCTATAAGCTTCAGGATTTTCTTGGGTAACACCAAGTTCTTGATATTTTCGAACTATACGTGTTTGAGCAGCAGAATAAATAATTATAGTATTAGATGGTTTTGAATATTCTATAGCAGGAGGAGCGTGTTCAACAATTGTACGGCGTTCAGGTTGAGGTCCATAGGAAATCCATCGTTCAATTATAATATCGCCTCAGTAGCAAAAAAACAACAATCTGGAATAAAAAGAAAACAAAAGAAAAATGAAGATAATTGTTTTACGGGGTTTTTTTGGAGGAGGTGGAAAACGTTCGATGACAACTGATCGTGGTGGAGCAGGTATAACAGGTAAGGTACGGATAACTGTAAAATAAAATACATTGATCAATCTAATGTATCTAATATAACTTTCTTTTTTTCTAACTTGTTTCGCTAGGAATATGTTTCGGTAGTGTTGGTGGTCGTTCACGTAAGATAAGTGGAGGTGGTGAAGGAAGAGGTGGCGCATGTTCGTGTATGACAAGTGGTGGAGGTGGCGATGGTTGTGGTGTACGCACTTCTTTAATAATGAGTGGCTAAAATCAGAAAAAGATTAGTAGGAGTGAATTTGAAAACAATTTGTTTCACTACGCCTGGTGGTGGAACAGCTGGTGGTTGAAGAAATCGAACAAGAACTCGTTGCTCTAGTGTTGCTGGACTTTCACTTCTTGCTCGTCGAATAATTTTTGGATTAGAATCCTTATAAATACTCGTATCTGATTTTGCCAGATAATGATTGGTTTCTTCTAAACTATTTGTATTAATCACCGTATCATCAATCCATCTCCTACTTCCATATGAAGTATATTTATCAGTCGTATATCCTAAATCATCTTGAAAACTATCTTTATATTTATATCGATCAAATCGACTAACAGTATCATCATAACGATTAAGTGCATTAGTTGTTGATTCATATGATGAAGTCAATCCTTCAGTATTTGAAACCCAATTATGGAATTCATTTTTATCAATACTAAATATGCATATATGTATTTATTATTTGATTTAAATCCTTAATTTATACCGTCCGTCTCGATTTGTATCAACTTGTTTAAATAACATATCAGTTGTATCATTACTTTCCATTATTCGAAATCGACACAGTAGAAATAAATTCTTAAAATAAAAGAAAACTGCTGATCATTAATTTATATATAGATCATAAAGATATAAAATGCTCAATCAATTATCACCGACATTAGACATAAATACAAATATCAAACATTTCTTTTGCAACGTCAAAAGCATTCTCGTTCATACTCTTTTTAATTTGTTGGTAAAAAGGATTAAGAGCATTAACAAACAAAAAAGTGTGTAAATGATTGTCGCATCGTTCTTATAAATAGTTCATGAAGATTGAAATATTATCATGAGAATATTGTAAGAAACAATAAAAAGAAAAAGAAGAAGAAGAACCGCTCTTCATTAAAACTGCTGAAGGAAAATTAGCTCATTAAAAATTCTAAAAAAAAGGTGAAATTAGCGAAGGCATCGGTTTAACATTATTTTTTATTATTTAACACAGTGTGACTGTATCCTATATCATACATGCAACTGACCTAATCAGTTTGTATATCATTTTAAACATGAAGAATTGACTGTTAGAAAACAGTTTGTTAGCGTAACCCATTGAGGGCTGCAATACGGAACTCTCATATGTCTTACAGCTTCATTATACTAAAACGAAATACAGAATGTACGGAATTAAGATTTTTTCATTGTTTGTTTTTAATGGACGCCTTTATTTTTTATTTTTCTTGTTGCTATGCTCTCATTATTTTTCCTTTTTCTTTCTTTAATATTTTTATTATTACAAACATCGAATCAAATGATAAATATGTAGTGGCGGATTCAGCATTTTGGCCTGGAGAAGGCTGCCACAGATAGACATGCACCAAAGCCAAATCGCTTGGTTTTGAGGTTTTAGTTTTGATAAGGTATTGGTTTTGATATGATTTTGGTATCGATAGTTTTGGTTTTGTTATGGTTTTGATATTGAATGTATTGGTTTTGACAGAATTTTGAGTTTTGTTTTGGTTTTGAGGTACTCATGAAAAAAATTAATTTTTATAAAACAGACTTATAATGCTTTTCTATAAACTTAAGTATATTTGTTCCCTTGAGATGTACTTTTAAAACAATATTACGGATCTGTAAAAAGCAGGTATCTAGTAGAAATTATAAGTTGATAATGAAAAAAAATGCTTTTCATGAAATATTTGCACATCTTGACATTCCCAACACACTGTAAACAATATATTTCTAACAAATTAAGTGAGACGTACACGTTTCAGTTTATAATAGTTTCTAGAAGGTGCACTAGATTGATATCAGTCTAAAAAATTCTTTTTGTTTTGAATAGATGTCTTCCTGCAACTAACGAGGAAACATTCCCCAGTGCACATTCGCTTTTGAATCGAGATTTAGTACATCTGGTAGGCCTTAGTGAACTATGAATATCCTAAGAAGAGTTCGTGCCTATAGCTTGTTTCTAGCAAGATATAGAGATTTTGGTGAATTTTCCCTATAGGACTCCAGATTTGCAGAAAGGCCATATTTTTGAATTTTGATCTGAAACTTTGTTCACATAAACATCTCAGTTAGAGTAGTTTGCATAAAAAATTTCACAACTTTTGGACAAAATATCTCCGAGATATAAAGTTTCCAATGTATAGGCCGTTTTCCATAGATAGTCTGTAAAGTATGCATTTTTTCAAAGCTTCATATCTCGG